CATGCATGTTCGAGTCCCTACTTTAACGTCGCTTTTGCAGCAAAGTGCTTAACAGCCCCTCAAAGCAAAATCCGAGCTTGAGAGTTGGAATTCGGAATTACAAAAGCAGAACTCAGAGTTTCAATAAGCGTAACTCAGAGTTTTAAAAACGGAACTCAGAGTTATCTCTGAGTTAACGCGGAGCTTCAAACTCGGAGTTTCGACCAGATTACTATTATTGGCTGAAACTTGGTATAGGGGGAGGGGGGGGGGGAGGAGTGTCCGATACGGTGATCACGAAAATGATACTGAATTTGCGAGCTAAGGGCTTTGGTAAGATTGCTGTAGGCGGTATGGGGTTTCACCCTAAGCAAGGAAGGCGTTATTTGACAAGTGTGTATGGCATGCGTTTCAAATAGCCCCACTATATCTTGGGCGAATTTTTGAGGTTCTGACTGCTTACAAGCATAGGTGCGGTAAGGGAGAATGATCCCTCCAGGATGAAGGGGGTCATAGCGGTCGCAGTCCCACCGGGTGAAGGGTGATTCACTTGTTAGAGAAATTATAAAATGTCGACTGGGGGGGGGGGGGGGGTATGGTGTTTTCTTATCATTTTTATAAGTCAAAGTTTACAATTTTCAAATCCTTGCCATCACTGGGTGTCTTTTTTCTGAATTATGACTCGATATGCTGCTTTAGCACACAATTATGTTTCTCACCAGCACCTTGTATTTTTTTTACATTTTTCCTTTTTTCTCTTTTACATCACCCTGCCTGTTTTTGAATTTACCAGAGAAGATGCGCATGCGAGAACATTTGTTTTTGGAAGAGTTAGACAATTTTGTATTTGCGGATTTTCTTCAAAAAAAATCATGATTTCTGTGAATGAACAGCAACGGCGGCAAGAAAATTGTTTCTAAAACCATCTTGTCCTCCGCTTTAGAGAATATATAGCTTGCATCGAGACTGTTAGTACAAGCCTGGTGAAGGGGACAACCTAATAGAACAAAGTTCGTCAGATTGCTCAAATGGCCCAACCTTAATTATGCACTCCGTTTAACAATACCTTCTGTCCAAAATACTCTTCTTGACACTGCTTTATTTGAGCGCTGAAAGGACCGTAATTTGATTCTACCTAGATTTGCGTTCACTTTTCGCATTAAGAAAATGTTCATAACTCGGCATGCAGAATTCTCGGCAGATAGTGAAATCAGATTTGGAATCACCGTTTGATGCTCTTCAAAGTGGTGTAGGACTCATTTGGAAAGGCCACTTTGGAAGGCGACTAATCGGACCTCCATTGCTAGCTAAAAAGTCGTATCCAAGTCTAAACGAGGAAGGGCATTATTTCAACAGTGGACCAAAAATCTTATTGTCTCTCGAGAGCGCCCCTGTTTGAATGCGGGCGAGCCTGAGTGCGGAAGCTATCCAGCCCAAAAAATCATAAGCAATAATATCTCTTTCAGATAAATCTGAACAATTGTTATTGCTTGTGGTTTTTCGTACAAAATACTAGTAACGAGATCAATTATGGAATATTCTAATTCTCAGTGGAATTTTTTACTTATCGTGGTTAAGTATATTTGGAGATCTGTCAACTAGGCAATGTCGGGGCAAGATGGTTATGTGGGATTTTGCCTTTATGTGGAAGTTGACTTCCTCGAACATGAAGGCTTGAGAGTTGAAAACTTATGCCCTGGAGAAAGCCTCGCCGACACATGTACACTCTTAGCGATGTAAAATTCCTCAACCGCTTCATCAGGGATGTAAAACATTGAAAGATTCGCTAGCTCTGCTTTCTGTATTTACTGATTTTCTCAAAGACTAGTGAAATGCGCGGCAAATGCGATTTACCATTAGGTCAGTGGGCTATGGTCAACACTTACCGCCGATGATGTGCCATATTTCACAAGAAATTTCTCTCTGAGTATTCAAAAAAAAACGGCAAAATGATTCTGGTACCACTTTGGAACAGTGCTGCTGCAGTGGAAGTTTTAAGGAAATATAATAACTTTTTTTCCGAAAAAGAATGACAAAATAGGAATACGGTACATCTTGCTGTCCTGTTTTTTTGCTACTGGTGGCATTCTCACTGAAATTCTCGTCTAAATGAAAAAAATCTGGGTCTGAAACGTGACTAATTGTAGATGCAAAAGACAAAACCAATCAGCGAACGATGTTCAAGAGTAATCAAGCTTCAGTTCGCAGAGACTCTAAGACCTTTTATATTTTTGCTGTAGTTGCATGTTTCATGACTTTGCCAAATTGAGATCTCCTAGTAAATAACTTTAGGCTCCAAACAACAGATCAGAAGAGTCCAAAAGCAATATCTCAGAGTCCGAGAATTGATCTATTTGCTTTCTTTTCCGAAACTTCAAAATAGATTTTAGCAAATTAGCCGAAGCAAGTAGAAATGATGGGTGAAGAATTTTGATAATTACCAAGTAGGCGGAAGGCTGCTACTCGATATTGATGCCAGAAAACGGATAGTGTTGCTTAGAATGTCTTCCGCTTAGCATCTGGTACCAATCTGTAGAACTGGCTCCAACTTCGATTTGCACTATGTTTCGAATTACCGCTCCATCTTGATTACTGTAAAATTATGGAAATAGGCTTTCAAATGTTTTAATCATTTAGAAATTGGAAGAACGCCTTTACTGTTTTTGGCATGACTTATGAAAGCCATACGGTAAAGGTGTGGATTTTATTTCTTTTGGTCAGCTTTTCAGCCTAGCCCAATGTGTTTCAGCTTGTTGGGTATCCATTTCTGTGCTAAATGTAGCCACCGATGGCTCAACACCCGTTTAAAAGTTCCTACCATAATCCTACGTAATGAAAAGCAAAAGGTGATTTGCTCCAAACTGTAAATCTAAATCAAAGCCTGCTCTACTGATTGGTAATTGAAGCTAAGCAAAACATTTTGTGGGAAGAAGGATAACAATGAAAAGTGTGTATTTGTTGGGGCACCCTGTATTGAGTTGAAAATCTCGAAACTTTCTGTCGTCCCAGCAACTGGAATTGTTTTTTGGTAGCCCACTAAAATTGTAGCACTAAGAAATTGAGTTGCTGGCTTTTGCACAGATCAAACAATGGTTGAATGTCATAAAGTAGTAACCTCCGAGCGACGCAAGCTGTCCTCCGCATCTGCCTTTTGTAAAGCCTTCACGCGAATGCCTGAACAGAGTGCACCATACCGCACTTTGAGAAACAATGATCTAACCCGGACGTAAACAAAGTCATTCCTTCTTCACTATATAATAGGGCTTATCAAACGCAGTGTCGCTTGCATCAGCATCTCCACTCCCGCGGTGGATTCTGCATCTCCTCCGCGAACTTGCTCTATGATCACTTTCCCAGGGGTGAACGTGGGAAAGGCGGATCCTCAATCGATTGGAAGTGATTGAAAGCATGTTCGCGAAAGAGATGCAGACTTTAGCGCGGGAGCGGAGATGCTGATGCAAGCGACACTGCATTTGATAAGCCCTGTATGGTGTGTTTCACTTCATTTACTTGCGATACTAATGGCGGTGAGGCCACTTCTCTCAACCAGTGAGGGCACAAATCATACCCATTTAGGCGAGATGTGAGAGACCCGTCATCCGCAGAAGATTAAAATGCTGGAAAAAGTACAGAAAACCTTTCCCACGGATGCCGGGTGTGAGGTATGTCCTGAACATCTCTCGCGGTTCTACTGCTCCAGCTGGAAGACGGTCCTTTCAAATCGTTCGCCATCGCAACCTTGTTTGTACGCACCTCTGATTGGCCAGCATTGTAGCAGCGAATGGAGAGAGCGAGAAAGCCGGGCTGCTCTTACGGGCTTAGAAGCGCAGGACGCGAGTTGCGCGAACTCACGCCTCTTCGCAAACAGGATTACTGAAGAGGAACGCAAAACCTTGTAAATTTCTTCAACTCTTTTCTTCAACTTGAAGTTAATAACTATGGTGTTGGAGCAAATCCGCAATTTTGTGACTGCCATAAATATGAGTGAAATGTATTGTCATTTCCTCAACGGTCAGTAGCGGGAGTTCTTAAGGCTTGTCACTTCTTTTTACTTTTATTCCCGTCATTTTTGTTAGCCCTTCCCTGCTCACCAAACTCGATACCACATCGGAACTTTTACGCTCTCGTTCCAAAGAGATGAGGGCGATTTCGTGCAATCGACCGTGCCTGCGGCGCTGAGAACGGCTCTTGCAAGACCATGTTCTCGACATAGTTCGGCAGACCGTTGGCGAAGTATACTACAGGGACCATCTTTTTTCGGCTTTTGCCGTATCAGATAACAATACAAATGATGGGTTCCTCGAAATCTCGTACTTTTTCGTTCCCCTTTGGGAACGGGTCACATCAACGTCTGATGCTCTACGTTAGGATTTTTAGAGTGCGAGAAGAGCCGAAGAAACTATTTGAAGAAGAATTTAAGTGTAAGTCATGTCCTGTTATGGACTCTATTTGAAATGAAAAACATTGAGCAAGAGTTTCAGGTAGAGTTTTGCGCGGTGCTCACACAACATTACTCTCTTCAGTGTCGATTTTGAATATCTGCCTAGAATGAATTTATACCTGGTGCATGGCTTACTCACGAGCTCAAGCGCAATTTGAAGACTACCTGTTTAGGAGAGAGTGTACAACCACATCAGAATCCTAAAGAAAAACAGGAATGCGCTGTTGGATGGACTGAGCCCCGATGCTATGAAAAGGTTGCGCAGGTCGAAAGGCCTGCGCAAACTGCTCAGTGTTGTGCAGCGTTGTGAGTATGCTATGTATGAATGGTGAGCAAATTGCACATTTTTTGTGTTCAGATGGGTTTGAATGTGGCTGTGCATCGGGACTCAAAAAAATACAGCGATACGGCAGTCGCGAGGAAAAGATTCGAGCAGCCAAAGACCTTGTAAGGTTTTTCTAAGAATTCTGCCAATAAAGTTTAACTCATTCAGGCTGCTATAGAAGATGAGAATACAAAAAGAAGTAGAGTTCTTTAAATTTATACAGTTTGCACAATTTGCACCTACTATTACATACATTCGTTACTACGACAGGCAGCACAGTTATTCTGGGGAGCGGTTACAGTATCCATCAATAGGTAATAACTATGGGCAAGATCAATTCACCTTGAGTACTTAGAAACGAGGAGTACACGCTGGCAACGATTACATATGTATTATGAAGAATGTAAAGCTATGATGCACGATCGAATCGACCTTTTCGATCTCTCAAAATAAAAACACAGGAAATGCATAATTAGGAATGAACGGAACAGAATGCGGAATCCTTGCTTTCATTGGCAAGTACAGGAATCAACTATCATATTCTTGAAGTTTTTGATGGTCGATCTCCCAATTTCGTCACGATAAAAAATGGTTAGAGATCGCATCTGATCAGGAGAGCAACAGACGGCAGGGATAGATGCAGATTGCAAGAGACTTTGCAAGACTGCATGATTCGAAGGGTTCATGTCCTGAAAAGAAATTTTCTATTGCTGCTTGTCTGTTTACTTACGTTTGTTTATGGAACGCTTACTTTCGGAATCGGATTGGGACATTTTCCAGAGCAAAATCCTGCTTCAAATGTCGCCGGAGCAATCACCCATTTTCCCCAACCAAGCAAGCGCAAGTCAATCAGAGTGCTGCGCTTCTGACACATCTGAATATCAAGTTGGGAGAAAACACGCATCAGACTTCGCTACTCTTGTTTCTGCTACAACTTGCACGAGAAGGGAAATCCAAGACAAGAAAGGAATACCGCTTTTTTCTCCTCCGCACCGAGCAACACAACTCGTACGTCGTTAGATTTTTCGTCAGCTACTTGATCCTTATCATCAACAGAATCCCCGAATCCATGCCAAATATCATCTTCTGGGATCCTATTACGACTTCCGCGTATCTGAGTCGTGAAATGTACATGGGACAGAATCAGCACACTGCTGGATGGACGGAATTTGGAGCAACCTTCGTTTTCCTCGGTTTGGATGGATCTTCTACAAAGTGCCTCCTGATCTTCCCCTCTTGTGTTGATGTTAAGGTCGACGTTGAAGCCAAGGAAGTAGTTTCCACACCCGCATTGTACGAAAAATAACCTGCAAAATTTCGTTTCAATCATAGTTAAGCTTACAGGTAATTCTGAAACTTACGCACCTAATTCTCTTCGCTTTCTTCTAGATCCCTCCACTCTCTTCTGCACTTCCTCCGCGTCAATCTGGTTTTCTCCTTGCGAGTACACCAACAGAAATGGCGTGCATTTCTTCACAAGTTCTGCATATCGGCGCATTCTTATATCTCGCCTTGAAATCTAAATACAAACTTTGTTTTCAACGTGAGAAGACGAATGGTCAGAAAAGCGGTTTGTAATATGTCAAAAAGCTAGTTAAGGTGAGAGATTCCCCAAACAAGACAGTGCTGTGTTTTTCGATAGAGTCAAAATCCGATCCAAGTCCAATTCCAATTTTTACATAATGTAAACTCAAGTAAATTGAACGCTCCTTTATAATCTTTATAATCATACTTTGATTTGAGTGATATATACCGAAGCATATAAGTTCAAGTGTAGTGTTACAAATTTTGGATAATCTCCGTTATTCGTTCGACCTTTCCAAAATCTACATATCACGCGATACCCTCTCCAAAATGTGTAGTACTACTGCTGATCCTATTTTTGAAATGTGTTTTTGTTCATGCACAGAGAGAACTTGCGTAATATGTTCATACTTTTTACTCGTTAACTCGCTTGTTTCGATGTCTTTCGCCGATTTTCAGGTACCATTATGTAGATCTTGTTTCAGTTTTGATCACTATGGAGAGAAACTCTGACTCTTCTCTACTGTTGGATTACGGTATCACTTACTCTTGGCATACAATGCCTTTGTGAAGTAGGCATTCGATGAAAAAATTTCAAGAAAATCTAGAAAGTTGTGAAGCAGGATTTTCAAATACTGATTTCATTACGCAGTTTTTTGCAAGGTTTTGAGCTTTCTTTAGAGGTATGTTGGAAGAGAAGTTGTTACTGTTTGCACAAAAACTTTACAGAAAGCATGACCGTGCTGTACAAATTTCATATTTGAAAGCAGCGGCTCTGAGTAGCCCAGTGTTACAGATTTTGGCTTGTTTGACTTTTTCTCAGGCAAAGAGCGACTCTTGCCTGAAACTCTCTCCAAAGTTCCTACCGTGATCCTACAGTAACAAAGAGATATCAAATTCGTTCCATACTGTAAATCCAATTTGAAGAATACAGAATTACAGAATGGTTCGTGAAGGTTGACAAAAAGCATTGAAGCAGGAGAGTCATTGGAGATCAAACAGTGTGCACTTTTGTGGACACTATTTTTTTGTCACTATCCTTGTCAGATATATAACTTCTCCCTCTTTCAAGAGAATTCCGTAAAAACAAAAACAAAAAGCTTTATGCGTATGCATGGGTTTGGAAATTGTGGCATATCTAACAAAAATTCTTCTGATTCCCTGTGCGAATTTTCGTATCCGAAAATGTCAAAATATTCCGAATTGACAAAGTGATGACACGTAGCATGCCTTCGACAATGTTCAATGTATCTTCTTGATCTGTTAACAAACCTCTTATAAAAAGTGCTGCTAAAATCAACATATTACACAAGCTAGTACTCTATATAAATCTCACAATGTGGATGTTCCAGGACGAGCCTTTAGCTGCAGTTCTGGAGTGGCCTAAAAGCGAAAATTCCTTTGAGAGGGGAGGGGGGGGGCGTGGCCAGTGTCTGAGTTTTCCAAATGGCGAAAACGTGAACAATGAACAGAAGAAATTGTAGTCGCAATAAAGAGCTGATATGATGGTTGATTATTTGCCAACTATTTGCCAGCATAGCGCACAGAGTCATGAGCAGGGTCAAGCGTGGGGTGCGGCACGCCACACCTGGGGGGTCGCATTGAGGAGTCAAAAGGGGAGGGGGTCGTAGTTGGGTAATCTGATAATAGTGATAACATGATATTCGTATCATATCCATAATTAGCATGCCAATTAACCCCTGTAGGCAAAGTGTGAGCGAATTCTGAAGATTCAAGATACTAGGCTACCTAAATGAAATGGTCAAATTCCAACATGGTTAACTTTGTTTCAAAGGTGAATTAGCTATCCGTTTTTGCACTCAAGACAAAGCACTACCCCTTCTTTGTCCAACTCAGGAATCCCGTTCCAGAAGACCTGCAAACTGTGGAATTAGAAGCCAACCAAAATCTCGTTTTTCCCATTCTTCTCTTTTGATCGCTGTGCTTTCACCAAATATTACTTAGAGCTAAGAAGACAAATCAGGCTCCAAACAGTCCTATGGAATCTACAAGGTTTAGGCTATCGATTCATATGAATACTGTCCGCTAAAAATGTTTTTTTGATATAGTTAATGGGGTGCGGCACACCCCCCTTAAGCGGCTGCCGCAGCTTTTAAGGGGGTGTGCCGCACCCCCTTTAACTTGCCTTCAAATTCCAGAAAGCGCTCCATTGCTGGTATGAGTATTGAGCACATAGCTTCTTGTGCTACATTGGAAATTTGGAGCCGAACGCCCCACCCATAAGAAAATTATGGCCCTTTCAATATGCCCATTCAGATCAAAATCAGCCGTCAAATTACGTGTGATTGTAAAGTGCAGTCACAGAAAATCGGGCGTACAGCTCTCAGAAATCTGAAAACTCTCTAGAAAAAGATGGTGTCCTCCAGAATGTCACACTTTGAGGTCCAGAGGTTAAGAGGAGGAAGAAGGGGTCGTTTGAGGGCTTTCATGGGGGGGGGGTTTCGAAAGAGTTGTGCCTGACCTCTTTCTCAACTCTTGTAATGTTATCTTAGGTATATAGTTCAGGGGGGGGGGGGGGATCTTATTAAGACAGCAATCAGGGGGGGGGGTCGTAACCAGCGATCGCGTGCCACACCCCTTGCTTGACCCTGGTCATGAGGTAATCTTTTGCTCCTCATTTTTATTCAGCCTATTGTGGCATCAGTGTGTAGCTACTGGCAAAGAAGCTTACAAGGGAAGTTCGCTTGGTCGAAGTGGCGATTCGAAAAGTGATGGATATACGGATAGGGCTTGAAATGCTGATCTCAGATATAGTTTCTATACTTGCGAAGCATTTTCATATAGAAATCTATGGGCTTTTGTTTATTTGCAATGGAATTGTGGTTTAGGAGGAAAATGACGACCTGTGAATAAAAACATGGATGGGCAACACTCGAAAACATTTAGATGGTATCGATTAGACCTACAATGCCTATTAGATGCTTTGCCTAAGCCTTACTTTTTTGTGAAAACTATCGTGATTTTACAATTAAAAATGCAGAAAATTTGGCATACGAAAAGCTCATAACTTTTTTCAGAAGAGCGCAACGCAGGTATAGAAGGTATATCTGAGATCAGCGTTCATAGCTGCATCCACGAGTATATATAACCTTCCTAATCGCCATTTCGATCAGACGAACTTCCCTTGTTAATGTCGCACAAACTATAAATTCTCTAGTTTCCCTGTGTTTTTTTTTCATCAAGACGTACAACTTCCCGCTTATCTCTCAGCTTTAGTTTTACGGCCTAAAAGAAACTATCAAGGTTGACGGCTCCAAGATAAGACGTTTGATGGCTAAACAAACAGTGCTAGACCATGTTCGTAAAATGGTACCGATATCTAGCAGATGCGCAGTACACAAAATCAATTTCTCACAGAATTTTTTTTCCGTACACCCTCATCCACTGTAACTCTTGTTTGATACTGAAGTAAAGCTTGCCCAGGTATTCGTTTCGAATATGATCTATACTGCTAAATCATGATGTCAGTATTAGCACAAACCTCCTAGGTTCGCCTCATGATGCTGCTTCGAGTAAATACAAACCTACCCTGACTACCAACTGATCAGCTCCTAGTGCATTTGCCTCCGCCAACGGCTTCGTAGCATCCCATATCACTTTGTCGGGAGATATCTAAACATAAGCAAATAGCCGTAAACAAGAGCAGAAACACTTTGATGACAAGTTTTTACCTTGATCGCCTCTAGCTGTTGATTTTCGCTGCAGTACTCATTGAGGCATAACGATTTCGCTCGAAGCAGGCGAGCACGACCGGACTTTGAAGCATCGCGACGTCGCAAATAGAAGTGTAGCTCACCACGCATGATCTCAAAATTGCAAAATTCAGGAATTTTCACTAATTAAAAATTAATCGCAGCCTTTCCATAATTTTCCAAAAGAAACGAACCTGTTCTCGACCAAATCCAGATACGTCAAATACCATGACTTCGTGACCATCATATTTGCCTAGAATAATAACGCTTTTGCGCTAGAGACAAATTTCACAGCGTTACTATACCTAACGCAGGATCAATGCTTCGGACGACATTTCCATCATCCGATCCGTCATCTTCAACGAAAGTCTCATAGATGCTCTGCATAGTAGCAGCACTACGATGCGAGGAGCGCACCGTTGGAGCGGTGGAATTGGCTGAAAACAGGGATTATAATAATTTCGAAATGGCAATTTGACCAAGGATGTGAAAATTTCTTTTTGGGGAACTGATTGGTATTTCTTGATTAAAGAGCTCAAGTGGCAGCTCTTATGATCTATTCGTGGTCGACTGAACCCTTAAGTTCGAGCCAGACCGTGAGGTATAGAGTACTCTAGGGCGTTCTGTACTTGGTTGGAAAGATCACGGTTGAGCTGAAGTTTACTGGACACTTCGTGGTTTCAAAAAAATTTTTACAAGATTAATTTGGATTTTTAACAAAATTTCGAAAATTATTTTGGTTATTTACAGTATAAACGAGTTACTTCCACAACTGGTGGTAACTTTCAAAGATTTCGCTATGCATTCTCTGGAGAGATCCCCCCTCGCCCTCCGCCACTGCCTGATTAGGATCAAAAAATATGAATCTTACTTACCATTCGGGACCTCGCTAAAGTCCAGCAGGTATCGAAGCGTCTCCTGAATGACATCGTTCGCATCGTCTTCGAAGGCCCAAACCACGTACGCACTGCATATGAGCAGCTGCGTTACGTGCATACTTCACGAACAGCGACTTTTTATTCTAGAATATATAGTATCTCTAGGACATCCGATATGCTTCTTTTTTTTTCTTGAGCACGAAGAGGGATTATGCCTGGCGGGCGATAAAAGAAGATGTTGAACAAACAGAGTATCAGTCGTGAAAAGCGGTGGTGTACGAGAGTACGAAGAAAAATAAGAAGTCGAACAATGTTTGTATAGTGCATAACAGGAAAAAAAGAAAGTCGGTAAGTAATCCCACACAGTGATGAAGAGAAGTCAGCTTTGAAAGCATGCTATTATCTGATACAAAAAATGATAGCGCTTAGAGTAAAAGAGTTTACTGTCAAAATATTGACGTTTTGTTAAAATGAAATGAAATGAGTACCGGGTAAAGTAAAAGGAAATTTAGTTATGTGTGCAGCTCAGGCAGATGAGAGATTAGGTGAGTGAACTATGAAATGGACGACAGCCGAACTACTGGAATCAACATTTCCAGAAAACAGCAAAACAAGGAAAACTGCATAGATAGGGTTATGCAGACGAAAATATGATGTGAATGAGTGATAAAAGGGCGAATTTGACTTATAGGTCAACCGAAGGTATAGATGATTAGCTCAAGTAATAGATAGAGAAAGAAAAAGAGAAAAAAAGTAGGAAAAAGAGAAAGACGAATGAGCAATGATAGAAATGAGGCAACAAGCACCTGAATAATCGACGCACGATTGAATACGATTTGACTTCATGGTAGTCATATTTGGAAAAAAGGACCACGTCATAACCTATTTGTAATAGAATCAACATATTCACTCGTATATGTGGGACCCATCTTTATAAAAGTAACAATTTATGGCTTTTGTGTCTGAGGATAATATTAGACGTTTACTTGGCACTCCTAGAATGCAAAGAGTTTTAATTTGAGGGGGTCCCGTCCGGCACGACTACACATCCAGAGCAGCTGAGACATTAGTCAGCCAAGGAGTATCGCTATTTGCTCAGATCGTGGGGTCCATATTTTCCTGGTTTTTGAGCCACTTGAGCTCGCAGCGGTAGCCGTATCTTGGAACGGAAGTGTCCGCAGTCCATATCATTTTTCTTGCTAAAAATGCAAAAAAGTCGTGTTGTAAATTATTGTTCTTCAGCATCTCTAGTAACTAGTGCAGCTTACACTAAGATGAGCTGACTTATCAGCCTGCTTTTGTATCATGGTAAGCACATAGCAGACTGTGCAGTTAGTTTCAGCTTCATGAGCAAATCACTTTTCTACATGAGCGAGTGAGGCTTACATCTGTGATAATGACTACAATTTTGTATCAACACCCTCTGCCCTCAAATATATACATCTTTTTTCTTCACATCAAGTGATTGGGGATGTTTTTTGAAATAATGCCAGGCAGCAAAAAGGGATATTTGAGCATTTCATTTACAAGGTGATAGAGCAAGTTAGATACATGTGTGTCTACAAGGTGCTACATAAAGAATATCCATCATACTTTTCTAAATAAGCAAAGTGAGCGAATATCATTCCATTGCAGCTCAGTAGTAACGACAAGAAGTTTTCCTGTAAATTAATCCTTCGCGAGTACCCTCTTCATCTCACCAAATCTACTAGTTCTACACACAGCCTGCTTTTCACGCGCTCATTTTTTACGCAAGTTCTAAATCTTTGAGTGGACATCACAATAATCATGTCGATCTGAGGCTTTGTGTTTCGCTGCTTGCTTCTAATTTTCCTCCCACTTCCCTATATTCATATCATGATAGGAGTGGATCATGCTCGTCAGTGTTTGCTTTTTTCGTTCTCCTCTTTGTTTTTGGCACACCTTTTAGTGTATTGTAAGATAAAAATAAAAATAAAAATAAATAAACTTTGTCATGTGAAATTCGCAACTAATTTACGCACGCAGTGTTTCAAAATTAGCACTCTTCCAATTTGCACTCAGGTTTTGTTCATAATATTCAAAACTTTAAGAGTAGCACATAGCTTATTTTCATATGGATAAAACTAACTGACGAGAAGAGAGCAATATCCATAAAGTGCCCTTTGAGGCTGACTAAGAGGAAGCACTATTTTCTTTTCTAAACTGAAGAATCAACACCAAAATGCCAGTTCATTTATGAAGTACGGTTATATACAATATATTGCCAAGTACATAATTTTGTTTCTGTTTTGACAATCAAAAATATGTATCTAGCGATTGTATATAACCGTGCTTTATAAATAAGTTGGCATTTTGGTGTTGATTCTTCAGTTCAGAAAAAAAACAGTGCTCTCACATAGTCAGCCTCAAAGGGCACTTTATGGATGTTGCTCTCTTCGCTTTTGAGCGGACATAAACAGAAGTCAACGCCCATAACTGACTATAATTGACTTTTTTGGACTGAAACGTAATACTCAAGATCAGAACAATTACTATTGCATGAGAGTACAAGCAATGAAATTTTGTTGATCGCAGTTAAAATCTGGAATCTGAACTTTGATTGGGGTTTACTGCCAGATTCTCGCGGAAGTCAAGCGATTATTGTAAAGATATTAGCGCATGTGAATGCTCAGGAATAAGTGAAAAAAGTCAACATTCTTCAGCATGTGCTTCTATGAGCTATAAAAAATGATACACTTGTAGATAACTTAGTATTTGACGAAGCAATAAAACTTAACAGTTTGGTAATCAAAATTAGTTTTTATATCATATTTCATACTAACATTGGCTAGTAGAAACTAACATCTTTAAATGGACAATGAAAAAGATAGCTACGAATAGCATTCTTCAAAGCAAAAATAGTAAAGCCAAATGCCCACATTTGGCACGAGGACTTGACATGCAAAAGTTCTGAAGACAATGATATATGTGAAGTGGCGACACTGGGGACCATTCGAACAGACGCACGACACGACATTTCGCATAAGAGTTCTGGCCAAAAACTACGATTTTGAGCGATGTGCCACGGGAAATGCTATCTAAAAGCTAGACTTGCTATGCGGCACTGGGGACAAAGAAGGAGAATTGGGCAAACGTAGAGGGGTGAAAGGGTAGGAAGATTGGGGGAGCGGAAGGCTGAACAGAAGACCGGCTTCCTTTGAGGTCTATGGGTCAGAAGCTCAAGGAACCGATGGTAGAGGAAGAGTGTTATGTTGCATGACCATCTATATCAGTTAGGTGATAAGACCCACTGGGTCATCTAGCTGACCACAGCATCTCGAAAGGAAAAAAAATTCTGCTGTTTGCCACCTGGGAAACCTTCTTTCATGGGAGAAGGAGAACAACGAAAGGAGAAAGAGATGCGCTGCTAATGCTACCCACTATATGCAAAAGGTCGAATCCCATAAAAGGTGACCTTTTACGTACTGCTTACTTTGTTCAGCTAATTCCAAGCCCCAAACAAAAACCATTACCTTTCCTCGAGTGACATCTGCACTCTATCAACAACACAGGAATCACACTCGTAAATCACTCCCTGTCCGAAAATGAGCAGCAGCAGCGCCGACAATATCAGGTGGGCAGTAATTTAATGACGGCACAAAAAAGGAAATAAACGAGAAAACAGGCACACGAGCCTCGTAAAGACATCGAATTCCTATACATTATCGAGAATCGATAAATGAGGCCAGAGATAGCGCTGATCTCGGTGTTAATGCTGACGGTCAGTGAACACTTGTCAGCCATTAAAGCGCGTCAAAGCAAACATTTGTTCTGGGCTCGCGGCGGGATACGGTAGCCCCGAAGCGGCCAGCCACCCTGGAGGAACAATCGCCGTTAAACATATGAGCGTAATGGGGTAGAGCTATGAACTGATTTCAGACCCCTACTGAGGCTTGAACACCTTGAATTGTGCGAAAGACTAGAAAAGCAAAGAGAAATAAGTCATAATTTGATCGGTATCATGTACAACTGACGCCCAAAAAGCTAAAATTTCGTCAAAACGCTTTTGCTTTTGACCCAAAAATTTGTTGAAAAAATTTAGCCGAACCAAAGCGTTTTTTGCTTGCTTTTGTTTCATGCTCAGGTGATCATATGAAGCAAATTACTCAAATATTGCAAACCTCGTACATCCATTTAGTGTTCTGGCTCCTGGTTCGATAGTCTTATAGCGCTTGGATTCTAGCAGCAAAAATTTATCACTCCAGGATTGCGGATAGTCTCTACCCCTATTCGTGCGGAAATTAGCTCTCCCCTATTCGCAACTTCCGAACAGTTTTTATGAGCACCGCCTTTTGATGAGAAAAGGAGATAAGGTTTAAAGTGCGCTTTTCCAAAGTTCTGGAGTGATATTTTGAATAATCATCAAAGAAAGAATAATGTAGGCCTACTCTTTTAATGCTCTATTAAAGCTAAAATGTTGATGAACAATAACAACTGACTGGCTTCTCTCATGATTCAAGAGATTTGATCTGTTTGTTGGATGCCATTGCAAATTTTCGCAATTTAAGTTCTCGCTCACCTTAAATGGTCCAGTTGACTAAATTCTTAAGCTCTAAAAATTTACTTGATAAAAGCTGAAAAATTTATCTCTTCAGTAATCCTCAACAAAAATTTGAAATCTCATATCTCTAGAAAGCTCAACAAAAGTTTTGAATCATATACCTTTAGTAATCCTCAGATTTTCATGTGGCCAAAATCGGAACAAGCCATTCGGCAGGCAAAAGTCATTTGAGAGAAGTTTAACTTCATAATCGTTTTAGATATCGCATTGTAAAATATGTCATTTACGCGTGTTGCTTATCTTCAGCAATTAGCAAAAGTTATTATCATAAAAATACGTTCGGCATCTTCAGCGTTTACAAACCATAATATCATCAAGCTATATGTAAATGATAGAGGCGGGAACTAAACTTGTTGTTAGTTTGACGTATATGAAGCTGCTGAAAGAAGTTGATCCAAGTTAAGAGCCCTAGCATTTGGCAGCAGCTTTGAACAAATGAGTTTACAATGAAGAAACCACAAGAAGAACCTGAGTTTTTTGTCATCTTTACTTACAGACTAGTGAACTGATCTGACAAGATGACATGGTGCATTAGC